TTTAAATACGACATAGGTAAATCGCGCGTATTAAGCAATGTTGCTTTATTGGACTTTAAAGAGTCCGATAACGAGAATAAGTGATAGACTTCATTTAGGTTCTTGCAAGCTACTCTGAGCGGATTAAACAGCTCATAATTATATTTACACTGACTAAGCTTAACCAAGATAAAGTGCCTAGAGAAGCGGTTAGGGACATTAAAGCTTATTTCACCAAGTAATAAAGACGAGTATATAGCACCATTTATTACTTTAATTAGAAAGGAAACGCCAAGAAGAAACCTACGTTTCTCAAGAGACGGTAGGGACAGCAAAAGCAACCTATTTTCATATGGAGGAAGAGAGGCAATCGGATCCCAACCCAAATTTCTAAGGGCAAACAGCAAGAATTGCTTTTGAACAGATTCAATTGAATCTACCTAGCACCTATATGAAGGAGACCACACAACTGGGGCATACTTGAGTATTGGTCTAACCAAACACACGTACAGCCTTTTCGTAATGTAGGGATCACCAAGCTCTTTGGACCACCTTTTTATAAAACCAAGCGCGGACCTAGCTTTGCTAATCGAGAGCTTAATTTGCAAGTTAAAACGTAACCTATGGTCAAATAGAACGCCTAAATCTGTGGTCGAATCGACGTCCTCCAACTTATGCGAATCTATGAAATACTGAGTAATGAATGACTTTCTTCTTGAGAATGAAAGCTTCTTACATTTACTCAGATTTAGTTTCAGAAGATTCAAAGAGCACCATGCAACAAAATTATCCATATCACCTTGAAGCTGATGTGATTGCGATTCAACAAAGAAGGAAGAAAAGAGTTTCACATCATCAGCATACATTAAGATCTGGCTGGAATTGACCACCGATGGGAGATCGTTAATGTTTAAACTGAATAAAATGGGACCTAAGTGAATTCCTTGAGGTATGCCAGACGTAACGGGGTGATGAAGTTAAACAAAACCCTGAAGGACCTATTGTGCAGATAAGAGCTTATCCATTTCACTAAGTAGGCTGGGAAATCAGAGGCTTGGAGTTTAAAGATTAGTAGTCTATACTTCGCATTTGATTTTAAAAAAGGTAACGCTTTATAACAAAAAAAATAAGTTACTTCATAAAGTAGGCTAAATGACAAAATTAAAACCAATTCATATGTTTATGCTACAAATTCAAATTCTTATGAATAGAAAAGTGTTAAAATTATTATTTCCCATGTTTTCCTACTCTGCACTGTACTAAGTACCTGAAAACAAAGTTCAAAAAAGGAAAAAAAAA